GAGTGCGTGAGATATGGGTTAATTGTGTGACTCTCACGCTCAATGCGTGAGGGTTGGCAGCCCTGTATGAACACACCAACACACTTGTTTTTTACGTCAAGTAGTTGGAAATATACAGCCTCAATGTTGACTTATTATTAGCCGCTTTCACACCACTTAGTTCCCAGCACTTAATTCCCCCATGGAACTAAAGAGCAGATCCCGTTCACACCGGAATAAATCCCTGAGGGAAGATTACGCAAATGAAGCCGCTGACGTCACTTCTTCTTTTTCTGCTTTGGGTTTACTGGCAGGCCGCAAACAACTTCACGGCGTATACTGCCACTGGAAGTCCCCGGGCGGAAGTCCCCGGAGTTGGGGACTGGCTTCAGTAGAAGCTGCTGGGACTCCCAGCAGCTTCTACTGAAGCCTTCCGAGTAAATCGCCAGAATGCCAACACCTCCTCATCTCCACCGCTCCCATGTTTTTTTTTGTGTTGCCATAAGTTATTCTCTCTCCGTTGGTGCGTGGGGCTAATGCTAATTCTAATAATGCTAATGCCAGCAAATACAATGGCGGCTTCACACAACTTTTCTGAGTTTTATGGGGCGTGGTTTGCAATTCGCCCAGCCAATCAGAAATTGGAACTTTTTTCTCCCCAGGAAAGTACCACCTCTCTAGCAGGCACTAAAAAGGGGGTACAAGTTCTCATGAACCAAGTTCTCTTTTTGGTGTGAACTCCGGTGTGAAAGCGCCTATTTACTCTGTATGCATTTAATGCGTGGTCGGAGAGAATATGGACATCTGTAAATCAGTTTCTAACACATTTGTAGATCACACTGCCCACTCACTGCAGGAGCATAAGGCCAGAGAGCTTTTCTACAGAAGCTCTGCTGGAAGTTAACAGTGCCGTCACACAAGAACGAGCGAGAACACACCAACAGGAGGGGAAATAGAACAGTTTGGACCTCTGTGCTAAGCTTTTTTTCAGGGCTCTACCACTTGAATGTTTGATTGTTTTTTAACTCTCAATTTTGAGGTTTCCCTGTTCTATCTCCCCTCAATCTAAGACAGGGATGGGCAACTTGGATGGTGGTAGGGGCCACATAATTTATGTACTGGCCACCAGGGGGCCGCAGATTCACTTGGAACACACACACACACAAATTCCATGTAATGTATCTAATTATTAACAAATATACTAAGTCTCACATCTTCATTGACATTTTACAATCTTTCAGGGAACATCCTCTAATAAGCTCACTAAACAAATATCAGTTGTACAAGTGGCATGTTTGTATTAAACAGGTTATTTAACAGTGGAATAAAACTATTTTAAACTATTGGAAAGCACGTAAAATGTGTGTGCATCAAGATTAACCATTAAGATGACATAAACATGAAGTCATGAACACTAACCCAAACATTAGTTGTCTAACATGAACCTCACACAAAAGGGGAATGTCAACACAGGCACCTGTCAACCCGCACTCTGCTGTTCCTCAGTGCCGCTCCCCCTCCGGCTGAAATTATGAATGAAAAGCGTATAGTAATCATAGATAACACGGCAGGGTCTGTGACAGTTTGTTTTCATCTGATTTCAAATAAACAAAGTCTTGGTTTTTAGAATATTAAACTTGTTTCGCCAAATTCAGATGATAAATACAACTTTTAAGCTTCTAACGGCATAATTACAAGCGGCAACTTAACCTCACAGCAGGCATAACAACAGCCGGTGTTTCTTGTGAGTGTTTCCCTGGGAAACAAACACAATACACACAAAAGATTATTTTGCGGTATTTGGCTGCCGAACGAATTCATGTACGCAGATCGCGACGTAACTAGGAGTCTAGTGGACGGTATCAGTACTAGAAGTAAAAAAAAAAATTAAAATAATTTTATTTGTTTTAATTAATTACGTTGTTTATAAATTAATCTGAGGGCCGCAACAACCCGGGCCGCCATTTGCCCATCCCTGATCTAAGATATGAGACAAGCAAATATTAGCAATGTATTATCTCGCTCATTTTTGAACATCTCAGTGTTTTTCCTCATTTTTGTGATTGAAGATTTTAATCTGAATAGTTTCTCAGTTTCATATTAGTTTTCAGATGCCGTCTTTCTAATGTAAACAACTAAGGCAAATAAAAGCAAATCCTGCATTTTTACATATAAAATCACTGAAAATAGCCTCAAGAAGAAAGCAACTAGTAGCAATAGCATTAAAAAAAAATGAGATGAGATTTTAAAATGTTTTATATGAACAGTTAAATGTTAGCCTACTTATTTTACCTACAATACAATCTGCTCTCCTAACTCAAAACACCTGGAAGCCAGCCTTACGTTTTGCAAGTATTAAAAAGCTGTTTGTCTTCCTTGTACTTCTCCATTTGAAACATAGTAAAACCTGCAAAAACATCTTGCTCATCTTGTATAGCAATGCATTGACTGAATACATGTTTCCCAATCTAACATCCAAACATCCTCAGTTGAGACTTGTAATATCAGTCCCGGTCACTTGTGATTGTTCTTTGTTCTTGGCCCACTAATGATGTCAGTGAGGCTCGTTGTTTTTCTCCGCTTTCCGTCCCCAAACTCTGGACCACTAAACCAAAGCCGAGGCCGGGACCTTTTGTTCCAGGGTGCTCTCTGCCCCGTCTTTTCACCCACTCGGGCACGCAAACACACTCTTCATACAAAGATGTACTCTTTGAGGAAAAAAACATGACCAGTCCAGGATATCCTGACAGGGGTTTTAACAACCGTTAGTTAGTTAGTTACATCACCTCAAAGACTCTGATAACTAACTCAGCAGGGCATCAGTCATATTCTGTAGCTCAGGGGACGGTAAGAAGTTTCATTGTTCCTCAGGTCATCTCCTGCATTTAAATGGGTATACACCAGGGGGACTACTACATTTAAGGTGATATCCAGACTCATTTTCTCTATATCACACATCAGTGGCCCAGTATGCTCTTGCTAGGTGTCCAGTCCAAGTTCTATTCATGGCTTTCTACATTGACATCAGTGGTGAATAGCTTTTAAATGAGTTTAACATTAAGATGTAGATCTGACTCTTTTTGATGGTGGATGACAAATTAATTACTGGGAGATTTGTATCCACAAAAGGAGGACTGTACTACTGCAATTGCAACAATCAGCACAAATGACTACATCAATGAACATGGCACACTGGCGAAGCAAAATGGTTGTGGTGATAAATGATCATTCCATAGCTTTTCGTAGCATTTAATCATTCAGTTAAAGGCAGAATGTTTGTTGGTTTTGGTTCGAAAACAGAACATTCGAAGTTGCCCTTTTCCCCACGCCATTTTAAAAGTTTGCTCTTGGTTCTGTGGTAACTATCTGGCACCTGTGTGTTTGTTGTTATAGACGTTGACTCCCTGAAACGCCCTGACTAGAGCAGAATAAGAAAATACAGAAAAAGGGCAGAGGCTGTGAAGATACAGACACCCACCACATGCTTCTAGTGGTTCCTAAGTGATCATTAAGAGGCATTTATTCCATACGAGTCTATATATTGTATGCCTTGTAACATTTTTACAGATGCATAAGTTGCATTTTTTTTACAATCTCTTTGGCGTTGTGCTCATCAGAAAATGAAATAAAACATGAGCATTAAGTTGTCTTGTCTAAGAGTAGGATTGCTTAGTTCAACACACACACACACTTGGAGTCTTGTGAGTCATCGTCTGTAAGCTGCAAGAATTCCCCGTCAGCCAATCATAGCTCTTGGAATAGAGGTGTTTCCGTAGCAACGGCACAGTGACAGCAGCAGATGGAGATGCTGCTGAGAGGAGAGAGAAGAAAAGAGAGGAGAGAAATCAGAGATGTGGAGGAGAAGAAATCCTCACAATGACGTATATGTTTCATGACCTTTTAACCCATACTGCCTCCGGGGTTTCCCCCAGTTCATTTTGAAAGTCACATTGCTGCATACAATAGCAAATGAAAAAGCTTTTGTGCTTATAGCATCAAGAAATGTATCATTTGTTTTCGAAAAAACATACTACTCAACAAAACGTCAAGAAATGATTTGTATTATTATAAGTTAACTACTGCTCAAGGATTTAGGTTTGTGTCTTCACATGATGTCACCCCCCCCCCCTCCCTCTCTAACATCTCCTCCCCCTTCTTCCCCTCCTGCATTAATCGTTAACCATCACATTCATTACACCCTTTGGTTCTCTCTTCAGTTCTTCAGTCATCTTCACTTCCTTTATTTATTGCATTGACCTCTTGCGAGGTTCAAAAAACATTGTAATTGTTCTCCATATATAGTGAGTTAAAGTGACATCTAACATTGCATTATCCTACTCAATATATGGATATTGTAATGTCAACAAAAATACTTCAACGTTATTAACAAACACTTCAGATACAGAATTCAAGACACTTGTAACCAACCGTATGTCAATCACGTTCAATTAGTCATGACAACAAATGCAATATCTTGTACAGTTTCATTTGATGTACGTAACAATTTATAGATATAGCGTTGTTTTGGGCCTATTTTGTGTTTGCATTATTTATATTGTGACATGGCAACTCCCTGTGGCCTCTCAAACATGGCAGCTCTCCAGAAGCACTTGACTAAGTTGGCGGAGGCAGAGTAATAAGACACAACCTGGTTCATAAATCTGCTAACATTGCTAACAGACCTGGAACAATAAGGCAGGCATTAAGAGAGTATTTAATTAAGTAGACAGACAGCAGACAATCTGTCCAACACTGTCAGCAGGCTGGAGAAGATGCCACTGAAGCTCTTTTTGAATATGATGTTCATAACACTGCCTGCTTCATTCATCTGTTGAAGTTAACCCACCTATCGCCGATTTACTGTCTTATTAAGGCAATTCTATTTCAAATGTCTGCTCAAAAAGTAAGCAGGCAGCAATTACAACAAATAGTTTCTGATTTCTAACCTGATCTGTTTTTGCTTATTCCTGTTCTAGACAGTCCATCTAACCTTTGTGTGTCTTCTGTATTTCTGTCTTCAGATCACAGAGCTGTTGGACGATGAGAAGTGTGAGGCTGAATGTGAAGAGCTGCCTCAGGACGGGGAGGAGGGTCCTGCCTCCTCTGACTCACCACAACACACACACACTGACGACAGCCCCACAGACAGGTACGTCTCTGGCTTTTATTCTTGGATGAGATGGTTTATCAGATTTGTTTTTACCTTGGGTCTTGTCAGAATGGGGATGTGGTCTTAAGCAACGGTATGAAAAGTGACAGAAGTCCCAAACTGGATTAAAAAAAAAAAAAAACAAGTACACTGCTGCTTTTCTCACTCTGATTTCCTTACGTTTTCTTTGGTGTATCTTGAACAACTTGTGATAACATTGCATCGCTCTCTTGTGATATTCATATACTTCTAACCTTGATGGGGGTTTTCCTACATTTAGTGTTAATTTACTTAATTGTGAATTTTTCAGTAGTTAAGCTCCGTGCAAAGTAGTTTTCTTGATAGTGTATCTTAACAAAGCAGAGAACATAAATTTTGAATATCATCGATTTCCGTAACTCTAAAATAATAACAATATTTGGTAATAACGATTATAAAACTAGTAATATCCTGGAATTTGTGAAAATGTTGATGGAATTTACAAAAAAATAAGAGTTTGATGTAGAAAATGTTTCCGCATTTGAATCAGTCATTCACTTTTATAGTCGGTGGACCAACATTATGAGATAACAATCATCCAAATGATGTTAATTTGTTTTCACGGTCACAGCATTTTCCATGTGCACCAAAAGGAGGCTGAGCTTGCATTCTGAGCTCACACACATGCAGATGCTCGGGTTCATCAGATAATGAGTTCAATCCCTCGGCAGGAACATGGAGATCTTCTCAGGTTATTCTGATCTGCTGATCTCCTAAGTTCATTACTGAGAACTACACCCAGACTCCTGTATACAGACAACAAACAATGAACCGCCCGTACAGTTCATCTGTAGCCTATATCTAAAGGGAACAGTCAGGGTTGATCATTTATTTGACATATATACACTTTGGAGAGGATCATGCTAACTTTTTAGTTTTTTGTTAGATTAAATCTGTGGTAGACAAACTAAAAAACTCTTTAACCCTTTAGTCATCCTGCTCATGTGTGTTTAATTCCTGTTTGAGTCACAACTATCCCTTTTGTTATGTCTTCACTTCAGAGCACAGAACAACATTGTATTTTCTGTAAGCCAGCGATGTGCTGTGTGGGTAAACTAAAATCAGAACAGATCACACAGGAAGTGAGTTTATAAAGATTTGTTTTCAAAACACAAAGCATTTACCAAGGAATATCAAACACTAGACAGCATCAACAAAAGAGAAAGGGAATATTACTCAGTTTTGATATCGATGACTTAAAGGTAGGGTATGTAATTCACTTCAGAAACCCTCTTTGTTATATTCCATGGAATGCTCTTAACATCCCGATAGCAATGAATATATTAAATACTTTGACAATAAATACATGAAAAAAATTCATCTGTGGAAGCCGTGGCGCTGTAAAAAGCACGGCCAATCATCTGAGCCGGCCCGGCTAAAATAACTGGATGGCCTACCTGCCTGTCAGCCTTCCATCTGTGCACAAACTTATCTGGTGCCCTCATTGGTCATGTGCGCGTTCGTGTGTGTTGGAGGAGGGGCTCTGTGAGGAAGTCTGAAGGAAGAGGCAGATTTTTTCCGGTTGTGTACTTTCAAATTCTAGCGCACTCGAGCTGGTTTCTCCAGAATTACATACCCCACCTTTAACAATACATAAACCAGCTTTACTGTTAAACATTTATGTGAAATCTTCATTTTGTTTTAAATTAGAATGGATATCTGTGTCCAGACGCCACAGCGGTTAATGTTCTGTTTTATGTCCGTACTGCTGCACTTTATTATGACTTTATTGCCGTTTCCTCCTTACTAGTGGCTGTTTTATGTGTCCAATTACACAGAGTGAGTCGCACTGCAGTTTGTCCCATGAGTCATGTCCCATTGACCTTTATTGGTTTCAAACATTTTTTACCAGTTATGTTTTATGGGCCGCATATAGTTTTGGATCCTGACTTATTGCTGTTTAAAGCATATTTTTTATTTTGTAATAACCTGCACCGTGTGCACTGTGTTGTTCAGTTTGCTCAGTAGCTCTCTACCTGCTAGATAAAGGCAAGGCTGTAAAGGAGTAAAGGACAATAAATCAGCCTGCTGTGACTTTTTTTACAACGTGTGTGTGTGTGTGTGTGTGTGTGTGTGTGTGTGTGTGTGTGTGTGTGTGTGTGTGTGTGTGTGTGTGTGTGTGTGTGTGTGTGTGTGTGTGTGTGTGTGTGTGTGGTGTGTGTGTGTGTGTGTGTGTGTGTGTGTGTGTGTGTGTGTGTGTGTGTGTGTGTGTGTGTGTGTGTGTGTGTGTGTGTGTGTGTGTGTGTGTGTGTGTGTGTGTGTGTGTGTGTGTGTGTGTGTGTGTGTGTGTGTGTGTGTGTGTGTGTGTGTGTGTGTGTGTGTGTGTGTGTGTGTGTGTGTGTGTGTGTGTGTGTGTGTGTGTGTGTGTGTGTGTGTGTGTGTGTGTGTGTGTTCCTACTAGCCGTTAAGATGATTATAGAATGTAATCCATAATCCACCCTTGCACACATAAACTCAGTTTCTTTCACTATACACGCTCTTATTATTAAATCTGTCCCTTTAACTCGGAGAGAAAGGACAAGTGTACCTAAATTATGAACTGTAAAGTTATGGCTAACAAAAAAATGCAGTCTACTACACTATTTGCGTAATCTCTAATGGCCGTCTGCATTGTGTCTTATCTATATGGTTAGGTTGTGAAATTCCTTGTTTGTGGGGAATACAATGGTGCGAGACCATTATGGTGCACTTATATAATGCAGGAAAAGGAAAATAAATACGTATATATATGCAATAAAATGATATAAAATAGAATGTTAGATTGAATTAAAAGGTGTGTTTGTGTGTGTTTACTGTAAGAAAGCTTTAGGTGGCAGCTGTTGTGCATTAGGACCGTTTTAATTACTGCTGATGTACGGGGGTTTACGTGCAGCAAATTATTTAAATTGAATGACGCTGCCTAGCCTGTTTTTATCTGTAAGTCTAATGTGATTGTTGCAGTTAGTATCCTCCCTGTGACCTCTAACCTCAGTGTTTGGTCTGAGGGATTACTGCTGTGTCTGCAGACCCTGGAGCTTTCACCACAAAGCCATTTAAATAATGCATGCCCACAATTTAAAGAACATTTCTGTTTAAATTGCAAAAAAGATATTGCTTACTCTTGAAGGGTTTAATCTAATTACTCATCCGATTTAATATGAAACAATATGTTTTCTTTTTCACGACGACACCTACACAGTTGAGTTTTAGCTCCACAAACTAACATCTGACGTCGCCCTGAAGCCCAGTCAGTCCAGTACAACCTATAAAGATGAGAGAAAAATGGTTCTGATAATTGAGTAATCCTCTGATTATGTGAACGTAACAGAAGAAAAAACTATAACATGTACTTCCATTTTAGCAGCAGTGGGCACCAGTTAATTATTTGGGATTTTTGTTATGCATTTTAAATGTCTGTCTACAAATTAATCAACAAATCATGTCTGAAATGTAGTTGAATATATTTTGTTTTCTAAGTGTGAACATTTCAGATCCTTTGAAACATTTCTAAAACCCAAAGTTTTAAGAATGTGTGATTGACAGCTTTTAAAACAATGCACTTTTGATGGACAATTTGTCGGGGGTGTTTTTTTTCTCCCCCCCTCAGTTCGTTACCCTTCATGTATTGTCTTCCTTTCAGTGGAGCATTTACTCAATTTAAAGTTGCTAAAGTACTTGTAATCTTGAGTACTGTCATGAAGTTTTTGATGAGTATATCTGCATTTATTCCTCAGAACTCCTTGACAGTTTTGAGAAAAGTTCACCGTTTCATGTAAATCAGGTAATATTTGACACATAGTGATTCTTGCCTTGTGACTCAACATTTACTGTGGCTGAGTTGTTTGTCCTACTCTTGACAGACAGTGCAGTCTGTCTTCTGTGGCTGCTGCAGCGCTCCCTTAATAGACTCTGTTTGTGTGCACACACACACACACACACACACACACACACACACACACACACACACACACACACACTCCCACACACCTTACTTGCTGACAGCCTCCGCTCATTTCAAATCTATATATAAAATCCCTGGTATTTTTTCTTCTGATCCCTCTGCTTCCCCCGTTACTACTTCCCTCCTCCTTCACTCTGCGTATATCCTCTCTCTGTGGAAAGTATTTTTTCATGAGGCCAATGAAAGGTTGAGGAAAAGGACTCTTGAGGTGCCCTCCTGGCTGCGGTGAGGAGGAGCAGGAGGGAAGGATTAATGGAGGGAAGGAGAATCAGAGGGCAGAGAAAGGCCACGGGGGGGCAGGCAGAGGGTGTGAGGATAGTAAAGCGTCCCCACTTGTGAACTATTTATTGATTTTCCGTCTGAGTGAAAACGCAATGTCACACCTCTGGAAGGAAAAGGTCAACCGAAGATAGAATTTCAACATATTCTAAACCACCTCATTACTGCTAGTCATACCTCAGTGTCACAAGCATCATCATGACATGACACACGCAGCGTCTCGCGTTGCAGATATCCAGACTTCCCTCCCGGTAAATCCCCTCATGATATTTTCCCTCGGTTATTTTGATGTGGCTGTGGAAATGATTTATGTCCCGCTGTGCCACTACACAGTGCTGGAGAGCTCTTTGTGTTCCTGGCAACAATGTGTATGTGAACACCAACGCAAAAACAAACACAAACAAATATATACGTAAACACTTCTCTTCGAGGTCAAGTGCATTGGCTTGTTTTCCATAGGGATCACCTGACTGTCCTTGCACACTCAGGGAGTTTGTAAACTCGCTAAAGGCTGCGTGACAAAATGATCATTCACATTTTTTGCAGGTCACAAGGTCTGTGTCAGAATGCACGATAATAATTTAAGGCTTGTCAGATTGTAAATGAAAAGCAGGTGATACTTTGATGCAACTAAATCTTGATTGTTGCATTCTTACTTGTCTTCTTTCCTACATTTTTTCTTAAAAAGAACTCAATGGATATTTCCCATAATAGTCTTTGCTAAGCAGTCTAGCTCTTTCTT